TTCTTGCATAATTTGCTTTTTTCCGTTAATGATTATGTTGTACTCCTTCATAAAACATTACAGCACTTTGTATCTGCAATCAAAAAGAGACAAATAAATAAATAAACAAAACAATGAGCCCACATGTCATAAAAAGTTGCAATGGATAAAAGCTGTACTATAAATAAAGTAATTTGTGTGTGTATGTGTGTGTATGTGTGGGGTGAGGGAGGGGGGGGGCAGAATTCTTGTGCATCACGGTGGGTGAAATATGGAATGTTTACATACAAAAATTTGCCTTCATTTGGTTTCTTTTGAATTTTGGTCTGAGCAGAGTGTGCACCTACTACAGCATCTAAGAGAAGATTAGTTTATCATCACTAACAAAGGTAAGGCAACCGAGAAATGCTATTAACTACAGTGTGCACTGTTTCTGTCGTGTGCATGTAACGCTGAAAGGCTGTCTTGTGTTTGCAAACACCACTGTGTGGATATCTTTCACTGAGCACTGATTGTTTTCATAAAGGTTGTCATAACTGCTCATGTTAAGCCACTGTGTTGAAATTAGAGGTGACTCTGTACCACCAGTTCAGCTAACCCAGTCTTAAGCATCTAAACTCCCTCACCTAAACACTAAGTTAATAATAAAAACGTATCTGCATGCACTGAGCCCGGCTAAGTAATGTTGTTGTCTAACAGTCACACAGTTAGAGTATACTCTGCTAGAGCACACAGCCCACAGCATCACTGTTTTTATTCTTACTACGGTCTTTTCAAAGGCAGATCGCTCTTCTAAGCTTCTCAGGCTCGGCTTGTTTGTCGTTTCTGACATATGTCCACGTAGGTGACACGGTCACATCTCGTTGTGTTATTAATGACACATTTGTCTTTACACCACGTTAAGCATTTACATGTTAGTTAATGTGGAGCTGTCCATACGTGGAGTTCCAAAGCACCTGTTTGCAAGAGTGAAAGCTGGCTTTAAGATAAGACCACGAGCCTTTGGGCATCAGAAGAGGCAACGTTTTTATAATCTTCAGTTGTGTAATTTTGGGAATTGTGTATAAATTGGAGCCTCAGTTTCCTGTCCTTGGCTGCCAGCAGTGACACCAGATGTGGTCTTCTGCTTCTGTGCATTCAGATATGCTTTTCTGCTTACCTTGTGTGCACCTACAAGTGTTTATTTGAGTTACTGATGCCTTCTTATCAGCTCCAACCAGTCCGCCCATCATGCTTTCACCTCTGACATCTAAAAGAGTGTAACACAGAATGGTCTTTCTTGCTCCTCATCGATCCTTTAACTGTTAAAATCACCAATATGAATCGCCCTATTATCTCTGACAGTAAAGAAGCAAACGCACAGAACCAGGATGGATCCAGCTCGGTTGTTTCCATTCTCCCTGCAACATCCCAACCCCCACCAACACTTTCAGCAGCAACACTGGCAGCACCTTCAGCAACAGCAGCTCTATCCTGTGAGCTCAGCTGCAAGGGTAATTCCATTTGCCCCCCAAACAAGAGCTGCAAAAAGGCAAAGAAATAGTGTAGACTGGCATCCAGGAAAGGAGCAGCATGCTGTGCAGCATCTCCCAGCCCAGGTGGACTCCTTCCAAATCCTCCTGCCAGCTGTCTACCCGCCTCCGCTCCACCTCCAGCCTTTATCGCCTGGCGAGCCCCTGTATAGGCCCTACACCTCTCAACAGTCCTACTGGCTGCCCATGCCCAGCTACAGTTACAAGGCCCAGCCCTACATACAGCTGCCCTTCAGCTCCAGGCCCGGGCACCTCCCACCAATTCTGTGTCCGCAGATCGTGCTGCTCCCTCAGACTCACTGTGCAAACCAGTAAGGGCTCTATTACTGCACATGTTACAATAACTAATACTGGATATGTCTTGATTGTGTCTGACCCCACCATTTGTGCCACAGGGTCTACATAAGTTCGCCCGCAGAGGTGACAACAGCATCACAGAGGACAGAGGTGGATGCAGTGTCAGGAGGTCAGGGGTCAAAGAGCTGTGCAAAAGGTACCTGAACAGCTAAGCTGACCACCAGCTGAAAAAAAATCAAATATGATTGAAATTTAATTAGACTTTTAGCAGAGTAGTGAGAAATAAAAGCGAATAGTTATTGTCCCGTTTTTACTATGTCTGTCTTCACTAACAGAGGACCAGAAGAACAATCCACACAAAGGCAACCCAGGCAATGAAGCCGAACCAGGCAATGAAAGCAACACAGTCAATGAAAGCAAGACTCCCAAAGAAAACATCCCAGCCAGTCTTACAGAGGACTGTTGTTTTCCCGGACCTACAGCCTCTTTAGATGAGGAAGCAGTGAACAAACATTCCATTGACGAATGTTTTAGTCTCCTAGGGCCCTTCTTTGACCAGGTGAGCAGTTGTATTGAAACTGTAAACAGCCTTTTTCAACCAAGTCATCCAGAAGCAGAAAAAAAAAATTTTGTAAGCTGTGTTTGTGTATAGATATTTTACCCTTCGTCTGTTCCAGCTGCTTCCCACTCAGGCTGAAGACCCCAGGGAGGAGGAGCATGGAGAGGCTGGGTACCTGAACATGGAAAACAGTTCCTTCCTGGAGTATATGGATGAGCTGTGCAGAGACGAGGAGTTTGTCAGTAAGGTAAACTGTCCATGCATAACCCTTTCATTATATTTAGAGCAGGAAGACAGCATCACACCAATAAATTATGTGAAGTGTTATATATTTGTTGCCGTTAGCAAGTGTTAAGAAAAAGCTGATGGGGACCTGTGGACCTGTGATTTGAATTACTTGTAATAGCCAGCAGGGGGCGATGCCTCTGTTTGTAAACATTAAATCTGAATGCAATAGTCTGGAAAACAACCTGCTCCTTACTTGATCGGCAGGCTCAATAACCACCGTCCTGATGAGTTCATGGCTCGGTCAATAATTTGAGGATTTACTGCATAAAACACAAAGCTATGTTTTGTATGTTTTGAGGCCCATTGTAGAGAAAAAGAATGATTAAGCAGGTCAGGCTTTAGTGTGAGTGGACAGTTTCCCTCAGATTGTCCACCATCCTCCAGCTGTTCAGGAAAATGTGTAACCTCCCTGTGGTCGGTTAGTGGTTGCTGGAGGTAGCTGGGTGTAGCTAGGAGAATGTGGTCCTAAAAAGGGTCTGGCATGTCTGCAAATACTTGTCGACTAATTGCCGAGTCATAGTGAAGCTTGTAAAAGTGCAGCTGACGAGTGTTTGCAGGCAAGCTGGCGTCTTCCATGAAAAACTACTGACGGAGGAGGTTTGCAACTGGTTAGCTACCACTTGCCAACTAGTTGGTGAATACAGATTTTTACCTAGAGTCCAGTTTTTTTCCTGGATGACCCTGAAGGCCCTTTCACATTGGACGCAGCTTACGCTGCGCTCACCGCTAGCTAAAGCAAAGGACACAAAATTTGTGTCCCGCTGACCACTACGCTCTGCTGGTACTAGATGTGCATGATCCTCGTAATTTCAAAAAATTGTATTTCTCTAACTTTGTATCCCCTACAAGAGTTTGTTTTGTATTATGTTCACATGTTTAATAAAAACATGTTTCACTCATAAAAAAGCTTTGCAACTATACTTGCAGCACATTTTGCTCACAGCACTTCCTGAGTATTAGCCCTTTCTATGATGTTTTGTTGTTCAAACTGTTGCCTTTGCTCTTTGTGCCAGGTGGAGTCCACGGTGAATATCGAAGCCCTCATGCCTCTCCTCTCTGCCAGCCAGGACCTTTTTGAAGAGCAAGAGCAAGAGGTAGCATCCTTTAAATACTGATACAGTACAGTAACAATAATTAAAAAACAAAAACATAAACATTTATTGAAAATGAATGTTTAGGGGATATTTTGTTTGTTCTCTTGCTCTACAGATGATCCTGCAGGAGGAGCTGCCTCCATGTCCTGCAAACAGCGATCATTTCCACGGAGAAACACCTTCGGTATCTTCACAGTCACTCTCTTTGGACGCTCCAGGCTCCCTCTTTGCAAGTAGCCCCAATAGAAACGGACAAAATTCATCCCAGAATGAAGTTGGGATCAGCTGCTCCCCCCTCCTGCTTTCAAACCTTTTACAAGAACCGCCTTCACCCAAAACTCTCAAACAGGAGGTTCAGGCGAGCGAGGAGAACCAGACCAAACCCAAGACCAACATTCTCGAAGCGCTTGCTGCGGTCCTTAAAAGAACACGTGGAACAGAGAAAGACAAGGAGAAGAAAAAACTGCAGAAAAAACAAGGAACCCAGTCATTTAAGAGAAAGCGGAGCCGGGAAACAAAACTAATGAGCACTGCAGAGCAGTTTCTGGAGCCGGCAAAGAAGAAACAGCTCAAGAGTCCCAACGTTGAAGGGATTTTTCGCGACACAATGCCCCAAGTTCAAAAATCACCCGCGTCAAACAACCAAGCCGGCGGGAAGAGAGGACGCTCGGGAGAAAACGCAGGGACGGCAATGGAGCAACTGGAGTAGAGTCCCACAAAAAAAGCAGGAAAGCCAAAAGAAGCTAGGAGCAACAGTTTGAAAGAAAAATAAATGAGTAAGAGAAAAATGATGTTTATTTGTGACAAACACCTCAGGACACTTAACGTCCATTTCCTGCTGCAGTTTGATCTGTTACAGGCGCTTAAGGCGGGAAAACAAACAAGGTTTTGTAAATGAATTCACAGTTTATTGTTAAATGTAAACATGGTTCATTCACACAGAATAAATCTTCCAGAGGATACTTTGTTTTTGCACATGCAATTATCATCATTACTATCATCATCATCATCGTTATCCCTTTAACAACACAAAAGTCACTAAAACACATATGAGTGGAAAGGTTATAAATACAAATGACAGTGACTGTACACGATGAGGATGAAAACAAACAGGAGCTGTCCTCACACCTCAGAGCACCACAGCAGCATCACTCAGACTAACTTTAAACCTCAGAGGTTCTTTTTTTGGCTTTTCTGTGTCGGTGCAGACTAATAGGATATGTAACACTTTTTGAAACATAAGAGCTGGAAAAAAAGACTTAAAAGCTGAAAATACAATCTTTAGCTGTTTCTGTTGTTTCTATCTGGCCCCGCCATCGTGCACTCTGGGGAAACACAAAGAAGGTCCAATTACAGAGAGGAGATCATCATTCGGACTTCTTGTCCTCATTAACGGAGCTGTTCAGGAGGCTTCTGTTGTTGTTCACAGACGTCCCGTTGGCGGATGGCAGTCTCTTGGACTGCAGGATCTCCTTTGTCACTTTCTGATATATCGGGTGGGTTGTCAACACGAGCAGCAAGCTCTCTATGGAAATGTGAAGACATTTTAGCTCCTCCCATCCCCCTCAGTTTAGTTTAACACAGCACAAGGCACCACAGCTCAGTGAAGACCAAGCTCAGGTTAAACACATGTAGCCTCTAGGTTTGATGATTATTTTTTCTGATAGAAATTTGTAGTATAAAATATAAAGTTACTAATAAACTAGACAAAACTGGCTTTTCAGTCGGCTGATGCAGAGGCCCAGATCCCCAGGCTCGGGGAGCAAAGAGGTTATTTTAATCACTGCCAACAGTAAATAAGTACAAAGACCCTGAGCTGAGTAAAAGAGCTGTCACATTAAACTGAGGACTTCATCAAAGAAGCCCACAAACATGGTCCTGCAGGCTAGCTATGTGTTTATGCTCCTGTGTTAATGCAGCTAGTTTATTATTTACAGACGTAACTCTCTGCTGGTGGATGTGATGGCCCTCGTGGGTTCTTAATCCTTTGAGTTATCTTCCTTCCAGCCTTGTGTTTCATGTAGTGTTGCACATCAAATGTCGGCGTGCATTATTCCCATTGGAAACACGAAATTCAGTTGGAAATTCAGCCTCAATATTCCAGTTTGTGGTTTCAAAGTTTTTGTTATCCCGTGTTTTTCTGACACGATTAGTTGTTAGTGAGTCCAAACTCTTGTTTGGTCCTAAGCTCAAACACCGCAGCATCACCTAGAGTTCAAAGCGTTCTTACTGAGGGATTTCTAATAAGCTAAAACGTGCAGCTCTGCTGTTACTTCACACATAAATGACAACAGGAAATAAACAGCAGCTATATTTGTGGGATTATTGAAGTTGGGCTAGCTGGGATATAACAGTGCACTGCCTGGTGGCTAGCTACAGGCTATGGTTAGGGTAATATAAACACATTAGCACAGTGAAGCTGGAGCATGAGCGTTTTCCACTCAATAAAAATCAATGTGAAGGTCCCTGATGGGCAGAGACAAATGAAATCATATGGCAAACAGTCAGGAGAACAGCTGAGAGGATCGATCCACAACGCAAGGTTAGTAATTAATATGCTGCTGTGTGCTTTGTATTACTGGCTATCAAAACGTCCTGATCCTCTGCTTCATGTAGCCACTGAAATCTTAGGCCGACTCAGAGTGATTCTTTTATGGGGCACTCACTTCTGTGTCTGGTGACCCGTGAACCTTGTAAGCCTTTAAACACTGAGCTTAAAGATGTGCTGCACATAAACGGTGCTAATAAACAGCCAGAGAAGCCCACAGTGACCACTGATTATTTTTAGGGGCTTGTTTAAATAAAATAAAACACAATACACTACAACACGTTAAAGCAGATATTAGCCTCAACCAAGCAAGGTCGATGCTTCATCACTTGACAAGCGGCTAAAACTTCCTGTGTCTGCACCCTTTTCGCTAATCCTCACACTCACCACGAGTTTGTAGTTTGTATGCAACAACGCTAACACGCAGCTCTATAATCTCCAGCGGCTGCGCAGCGATGTGCCGTCAGCAGCTGCTTCGCCGTTTGACTCTCACCTTCAGTGAGCTGCTCCTGGTCCTCGGTGGCAGTGTCGTAGAGCTCCTCGGTGCTCTGCTGAGGAACACCCAGCAGTGCTCCCATGAGCTCGGTCAGCTCCTCTTTAGTCAGACTGCCTCTGCCCTCTCTGTCGAACGCCTGCAACACAAGACGGCTGTGTCATCACCGACAAAAACAAGAGGTCTGCTCGAAATATGAATCTAAGAGAGCAGAACTTACAGCGAAAGCAGAGTGAAACAGAGAGATCTCGTCCACATGTCCGATAAGGGCTGCCATATTGAAGTAGATGTGTCTGAGGTCCACAGTGTCATCCTGAAACAAAACAAGCACACAAAAACACGTTCTCTGTCACCTGAGCTTTTATTCTGGTGGCCTTTCTTCTGCTCTGCTTCCTTCAGCAAACTCATATGCTACTGAATAAACTGACAAGCCTCAAAAATCAAAACATCTGGAACATCTGTGGCTGAGGAAGAGCTTGGCTGGCTCTAACAATAAGAGTACCTTAGAGTAGAGGCTGCAGATGTGGATGGCTGTCTTTTTGTTAAGCCCGAGAATGGAGGCGAGCTCCTCTGCGTTGGCCTTTGTGCCCTCGGCTCCTGAGCGACACCTGTCAATCATCCTGTCCAACGCTGCCTCTACATCACGTGGGCCCAGACTGATAGGAGAGGAGGACAAAGACCACAGTGTGAGGAGAGGATGAGGAGGAGTTTCTCACATGATAAATAAACCAGATTTAGTAAAAGGTAAATCCAAACGGGCTCTCACCCTTTTCTGTATAGAAGTGTCATTGCTTCTTTCCCAGGAGACTCAAGCGGGACAGAGAGGTCATTCAGCTTACTGACTGGAATCCGGCCTGCCATCACGTAGTCTGAGGCAGGGACTCCCAGAGCGCTAACATACAGAAGAAAAAGCAAACAGATTACAACAACTGACACAAAGTCAAACAAAGATTTCCCTTTAATCTGCCTGAAGAGTCCTTTCAGGTCTGGAGTGATTCTATTTGAATTACTGGATGATTCTGTTATTATTCTAACATTTTCTTCTTTCTAAATGGAAACACTGGCTGTGAGCTCTGTTAGGATCAATGTGACTCCAAAGTGCAGTTTACACATACACCAACAAAAACAACTAATGTAGATATTTATTCTTCCTACACCGAAGTCATTATACAAATATTTGGTCCCTGAGATACCAGAAAAACCAACAGCAGGTGCCTTTCAGCAAGCCTTTTTTATTTAAAACAGCTAAAGCTAGTTTGAGTTTCATTTCAGAATGATAATGAGACATCTTTAACGACAGTACACTTATAAAAACACAACATCCAAAACTCTTATGAGGCGATCAATGAGCCTTAACTGGCTGTAATCAGGTGGATTCATCTTATCTAAAGCACAATACTGCTAAAACAGCTGAGTGTGACATGTCAGGGTCTCAGATGAAGGCCCAGCTAAGCCGCACAGTCCTGCAGGACACTGGATGCAGAAAATAGGCAGTTTTTGTCATGTGTTCAGTGGTTTCTGTGATTCCTTTTAGTTTGGAGGGTCACACGTTTTAGTTCGGCATGGCTGATAGCAGACGGCAGTTTCCAGAAGCAAGTACTGATACACTCAGGCGAACGAGTGAGTCATAATAAAAGCAGCTGTGTGACGTGGGTCTCACCTCGCCATGACTTTCTGAACGTTGCCTGCAAACAGTCTGGAGTTCTTCTTCTCCTCCTCGGACGGAGTGTAAACCGGCAGGAACTGCAGCACAATAAACAGGCAAACATTGATTTGTGTGTTTACAGCATCTAGACGACAGTAACAGCTCAATAGGGAGGCAGGCACACGAATCAACACAAACGCACGCAGAGGATCTCGTCTGCAGACACGTGCGCTGTCAAAGCAACTCTAAAAACTGAAGACGTAATCTCTGCCACACCCTCCACTGCTGATATCACCTGCGCCAAACGCACATTGTGTACACCTTTACATCATCAGATGTGCTGATAACGTCTAATGATTGATAACAAGCGTGGTGGTTAACCTCGGTGAGCTCTTACCTCAATAGTGATGTTGGTGTACGGCTGTGAAAGCGTGTGAAACAGCACCTGAAACCTAACGAGACAAAAACAGGAAGATATTGGTTATTTTTTCCAAAATCCACACATCCATCTATTTTCTTCCACTTATACAACTTTCAGCCCTAAGAAGTAATTCATTGTAATATATGTGACTCATTATTGCATATTTTTCTTAAATAAACTGATTGCTGATGCTAAAAAAGGGACCTGTGCAAAAACCTGTGCTTACATTCAGTCTCAGATTTAACTGTCTGAACTGTCTGTTAAATTCATTCTTTTTTAAGTAGCCCTCTGTATAGCTAACCATTCAGGATTTATAACACTGATGCAAAGCTAATAAGCTAATACTCACTTTCTGTGTATTAGTTAAAACTCATGAGCAGCATTTCTCAGGCCCATGAGCAAATTCAGAAAGTAAAAGAGTTTTAAAAAAAAGGTCCAAAGTCCAGGAGGCTTCCAGCTGATTCCTTGTGCTGCCTCAAAATGTCAAACACACAGATTCTGAGCTGGAGAAGTGAGCAGACTCACCAGTTGCTTCCTTTGTATGTCCAGCGAATAGTATCCTGAGGGAGAGTCAGAGAAAAGCTTGCATTAAACTGTTTAGCATCAGTCTGAGTGACGCATTTTCTCACAGCATGTATGACTTTAACAGTATTTCATTTCCCCCGTTTGCACACGCTGACAGGACCCAGCGTGTGCAAACGCCACAGTGTGTTTAAATGGTGCCTGGCACCACAAACAGTTTCCTTTTAGAAGGCCTCACAAGTACTTGTCAGTCAGTGACTATATCAAAGACTCCCACATGACATTAATAATGCTGATTTGGCTCTCTCAGTCTAAGATTAACTCTCCTTCAGTATTAAGATTATCACTACGATTGTCTTCATTCTGTTTTGTTGTTTTGTTTTATTATGTAACTTTACTGTCCTCCTCTGTGTAAGGACCTCTGGTCAGCCTGTACTCTGATGTGTCTGCAGAGCAGTTTAGTTTCATCGCTCTGACAAAGAAACTCTCTTGGATACTTAGAGGTCAGGAGGTAGAGCCAGAGAAAGCCATATGAAGGGCAGTGTTTCGATCCTCTGCTCCCCCAGTCTGCATGTTTACTTATCCATGGGGGAGCTACTGAACCCAAAAAAGGGCTTATATGAATCTCTTTGACCAGGTGAACAATGCATATAGTAGAAAGTGCTCAAAGTGATTGCTCCAGTGTGTTCATCTTCCTTTTAGCAGGACTATTTCAAAAGTTATTGGTGGTGGGCTTGGCAGCCTACATCCACCCCAGCTCCTCCTTTTCCCTCTGTGCTGTATTTGGCCTAAAATCACATCAGCTCACAGACGCCTGCTCTGTGACTCTTTCGCTGTGCTAGCTGAACAGCTGCAGATAGATGTAACCTTTTGACTGCAGCCATCTCGGCTAAAATAACTCACAAACCCTGCCTGGTACTGGGAGGAAAAATTACATTTCTGGTCTTCGCCTCCTGTCAAACTAGACTCGTATGTACGTCGCTGCAGAGGATGCTGTTATGGAACGAGATGCATGTAGTTGGCGGCGCTATCGCAGCGTGAATGTGATCAACTAACCTTCAGGCTTAAGTTACAACCTTTCATTTTGACTAATTTCTTAAAATGTTGTTATTACCATATAACCTGCCTTTCCATTAAACTGCTGCTCGTCACTCATCAGTGTCACGGCTGAGCAAACATCCTGATCTCTTACAGAACTATGCATCTCTTTAAGCAGAGACCAAGACCAGGAAATATTCACCGACAGATAAGCATTACTTAATGGAGTCAGTAGGATGTTATTAATATGCCAAATCATGACAGCCTAAGGTGCGAGGCTTAAGCAGCTGCAGATAAATGTCTTTATTTGCAGCAGGTTTAACTGCATTCATTCAGATTAACTACAGGCAGCAAAACAAGTGAAAGCTTGCCTGAAAAACCCACCCCCAAATCAACACATAACTCTACTGGCAGGAAACTAAATGTTGCCTCTGCATTGTCGTACAATTACAATTTATTACATTTCATGTCATGGAGGTTTTGTCCTCGTCGTAATTGACAAAAAAGTTTGGTTTCATTCACAAAAAGCTGCTGTGTTGCTGATAACTAGCAGATCAAGCTGCTGCTTTAATGATTTTACTCACCAGCTCGTTGGGGTAATGCAACACGACGGGCTGGACGGGGACGCCGGGAACGAAAGCACCTGATGTGACAGAGACGCAGAAATAAGACAGAACTCCTCACTCACTTCTCAATCTTTGATTCCTCCTATTACGTCGAGTGCTCAGCGCCTGAGACACGGAGTGAGAGGAGTCGAAGCTCAAAGCATGTAACACGATTAGATATGCTTTTAACCTCCATGTATTTGTTCTTTTACAACCCAAATCTGCTGCTTAAGATCTCAGAAACAGTGTTTTTAACTTTTTTTTAATCATTATTATTATTAGGTTTAGTTTTTAATGAAACATGGCATCACGTGAGATTTTATTTATGTTTTAGGGGGTTTTCTTTGTCTCTGTGTGTAGATTGAACTCACCAGTCTTGAATCTGAGCAGACAGCAGCCATTAGTTGTGGTTCCTTCAGGAAACATCAGTATCTATGCAGGTATGAAGAAAGGGCAGTTTCAGTCTTTATACTTGAATATATTAATGATCCCTTTTAGCAGAAAGACGACATAACCCACAAGAGTATCGAGTGACACAAAAACATCTCACCTGAGGCCAGGATCCATCGGAGGTGACCCTCTTGTTTAGCTCTGAGACGGCTTCTTTCCTGGAGTCAGGATCCCTCCTGCTCACAAGAACAGACTGATTGCACTCCAGCAGAGCTGAAACATTTAAAAAAATCCCAGAAATCTAATCAGGAACTATTAGAGCAGATAGAGCAGATTAGAAGCTAGAGGAGTGAAGCTCCTGATCTTGTCACTGGATCATCTTCATTTTTGACTTTAGATATTACTACACAGTACGTGGGCATCCTGTCTATACTGCAAACGCAAGCTAGACCTCAATAAATGACTAAAGTGACAGCTCAGCCTGTAAAATGTGAACTGTGTCTCAGTCAGCAAAACAAAGAAACACCAACAGCTCCCATCAGGATACTTTAAAAAGAAACTCTTTAGCGATCCAACAGGTGCTTCCAGGTGTATAAACAATGGCAAAGTAAACAAATTCCATCTCTCTCTTCACCTCCTATGACCGGCAGGTTTATGTTTTCCGACCGCGACACAACTGACGGCACCCCGGCTGGAAACATGATCACCATGTCCAAGAAGCTGCTGTGGGGCGCCACTACCAGGATCGGCGCCTCCTTCACATCCGCCTTACGACCTTTCACCTTAACCCAATGGAAGCCCACGCAGAAGAACACTGCACGGCCCAGCAGCCACAGGATCGGGTGGAACAACCAGCGGCGCCAGCCTGATAAGGGTTTGGAGCGTTCCTCCTGAGACAGGCCAGCCAATCTCGGCAGAGCGACGATCCAAGCAGCGATTAACAAGATCCACGCCAGGAAGACCCGTATGGGGAGCAGGGTGCAGCCCAGGATTATGCCCTGCAGGATCAGATGGGTAAAATTAGAGTTGTTTAAACATAATGCAGGGGTCCCATCAAGTGAAACACATCATCATGACTTTCATTCATTTTTAAGAAAAATAATTCTTAAAAAACACACAATTGATGAAAAAAAACGCATATTAAAGCTTTAGTTCTCGTTTGTATGCGTAATAGTATGTTAGCATGATTAGAAGACCAAAATATAGATGATCTGGGTACAAGCAACTACAGTGAACTCCTCCGTGTCAAGGTTCAAACGAACTTTTCAAAGAAAATCCAAACAAACATCTGGTTTACAGATGTGTAATATTTATATACTCTGTACAGAAACACTATGATTTGGATTTATAATCTCTATAGCAAAACAGAGATGCCTCATTACGGAAGAACTGAGTTTTAAAAAAGTAGATGTGAGTTTGTATGTTAGCAGGTTAATGTGACTTGGTGTATAACCCATTATAAAAGGTCTATAAGGCTCGATAAGTGGCATGGGTAGATCTGACCATGAAAAACCTGACAAAAGATTTAACGTCTGACCTTCACTACATCATTGGCCTTAAGAAAAGTCACCAACATACAGTCTGAGAACAGACCTAAAAGTTAAATAGTTTCACCCCATCCCTGAATCAAAGCATTTACCTCTAATATAACCTTTAAATTCCTAGAGACACACTTCTCTAAAATCACTAATGGAGCATTTTCCTCAGCCTTATTTCATCTGTTCAGTTTGTTTAGTTTTTAATCTATTTACAGCAAAAATATGTAAAAATTGGTTGATGATTTAGGTTATATCAAGTTATACATTCAGAGAAAAAGGTCAGAATAGAAGTTTTTAGATATTTTTCCCAATTTTAAGTAATTACTATTGGGTCCTTATACTTATTAAGTAATTAACTAATTTTATTTGCTAAATTTGATTACTAATTACAGTAAAAGCGTGGGAAAATCAGGTTACATTAATTGAGAAATTCATACCAAAATTTACAGAGGAAATAACAAAAAAGGACCAGAAAAGGAGATTTTTACATACTTTTTCTAATAATAGTAGATAATTTTCCTCAATAAATAAATATCCATCTAACATTCCCGTTTCATTTACTCACTTTGATTATTTAATTGGATTTTGATATGTTTTAAGTTAATTTTAAGCAGAAATATGTGGGAAACTGAGCTTTTAAAACAAAATAAAACAGGCGATCACATCTGGTAGCATAAATTAGCATTTTGCGGATTACCTTTATAACCTCCAAAAACCGGAGACAAACCCAGAGTTAGCAAGGGTCCCTGGTTAAGCAGAAGATTAACTGTTTCAAGCAGGGCAGTAGGTCTGCCTGACATCCTGCCCTACTTCCAAGCATAAAATCAATACATGTAATGAGTACCTTGATCCACTGCGCCTTGGTCAGCTTCAGCTCATGAATGAAAGGGTTGGGGTACTCCTGTGTAGCAGCCCTGCTGCTCCGGCTCTCCATGGCGAACTAGCAAAAAAAAACAAGTTTTACTAACTATAAAAAGTTCAAAAAGTGATTCAGGCTCCTTTGCTGCTGAAAGTTTATCTAAAAATGCCAGAGGAAAGAAAAAAGAAAGGGAAAAACTGGTCAGGGTGCGCTCATTGCTCAGCACCTCTCTTTTTTCGGAAAAGTGTCCTGGCAGTTTGGAGTTTGAAAACCTGAGTGTTAGCTGATGCTAGCTCGGACACCCTTAGAAACAAAGATAAGCTAGCAGAAACCACGAATTTTTCAGTTTCTACTGTCCTCATGGCCAAACCGCACACATACTAAAGAATTTATACCCTCTGTTTGTTACTTCATCACCTGTCCCGCCCCTTTACAAGTCGCTCAGCCCACGCCACCCAGCCCTGAAGTCAAAGCGCTGGGTGAGAGGTAAACTTTACCTAGGTGAAGGTACAGAAGCTCACTTACACCAGGGAACAGTTACAAATTACACTTTAAAATGTCATTTTAATTTCATAGAAGTCCCAAATACCCATTATATGCATCTCAGCCTGTCAAATATCATATTAGCTCTGTATATAACACACGGACCATACAGGTTTTGGCTGCAATTTAGTTTGGAGCCACCAGGAGGTGCTAGAGAGATAGTTACTTACTCTGAATGAGGTGGCTGAGTTAAATTAAAATATAATTTAATTTATAATTAAACTAAAATATTCATTCAAATGAGTTTCTATATTTAAAAAACAGAACACATTTTATTTTAGTTTTAACACAGCATTGACAGTGTGTTCAAATGCTTGAGTTAAACTTTTATGCTGACTGGTTTTATAAACCCACCTTCCATTGGCTATATGTTATTAAGGAACAGTTTTCTCCATTTCTATTTGGGATTGTACTTTTTCAAGTTTTACTACCGTCAGGCTAGTAGTTAGTGGGTAAAAAATTAAAAACTGGTAATCTAACAGCAACCAAAGCTATACTCTTATTTGCAACCAATCAGCAACCTCCACGAACCACTTTTATCCAGTTTTTCCTTATACATTTTCCCCTAGAAACTGGTGGTTGTATCATACCCAATATGAAAGACAACTCTCGAATATGATGTGACGCATTAACAAAAGATTTTTGTAGCCACAATAAGGCATCCACTGGTCTTGGACTCAGTTTGACGCCTGAGTGTTAGCATGTTAGCTGCCGTACTGTCGATTTTTGCAGCCAGAAGTTACTATATTTGAGTGTCATTAGTCATCAACACTAGCAAACTACATTCATAAATGTGCTCAGAAGGGAAACCAGATGTCACCAAACTAAATGTGAGGCAAACACTGTGTATGTGGTGCAATTCTGAGAGTTAGCCTGAATATTATTTCAGTTATTTTGGCTGCACCTCTGCTCTTCTTTGGGTTTCAGTTTGGAAGCGTAGATAAATTGGCAAACCTTTTTTGAGCCATATCAGAAAATTTTTTAGTAATTTTATGCAGTTTTGGGACACACATATAAGGCTAGCAAAAACAGACAAACCCATAGTACTGCTTTATTTTCTTTATGGTAATTCCCATCATATTCATCAAAATCTACAAAACGGGGGCGACCGTGGCTCAGGGGGTTGGGAAGAGTATCTGTAACCGGAAGGTTGCCGGTTTGATCCCCGGGCTCTCTGTCCTGGTCGTTGTGTCCTTGGGCAAGACATCCTCTCTGGATTACTGTCCCTGCGTTAAAGGCCCTCCTTTCACCCTCATTTCATGAATCTACAACTCGTTTGCTTCTGCCTCATCACTCAACAAAATATTCTCCTAAACTCTTGGAGATCATCAGGATGTTGTTTGGTAACTATGAGACAAGCATTTGTGTTCTTCTTGGTCAGCAGTGGGTTTCCTCCTTGGACTCTCCCATTTCTTTCCAGTCTCTTTTTTATTAGTCAGTCGTGAACTCTGACCTTAACTCAGGTTTTTACATGTTGTTCTGGGGTCTTTTGTGACGTCCCGAAGTTTTAGTAGCTCGGTCACTTCTTAGTGTTCTCCATTTGTGGATGACTGTGAAGTCCCAAAACCTTCGAAGTGGCTTTATAACCTTTTCCAGACTGACAGATGTCAGTGACTTTGTTTGTTAGCTGTTTAAGATCTTTTAGCCAGCCTTACTTTGTCACACAGCTCCTAATAATGGCTGGGCGTGCCTACTGGGCAGCTTTAAAAACAACTTTTTACTTGGTTTATCTTTGTCTAATATTAAAATCTGTCTGAAATTTGTCTAAAAATTTGTGAAAAATGTAGGTGTGACAAATGTGCAAAAAAAAAAAAAACAAACCCTCAGAAATCAGAAAGTGGGCAAATAATTTTTCACAGCTCTGTCTTTTGTTGCACACGTACACTCTTTATAGACGCAATTTGCTATCAGCTGTTGATAGCAATGAGTTGATAAATCTGCACTCGACTGTGTCATCCAGATAAGGTGACTTCTGGCTCCAAAACCCCCAAATGGCAGATGCCAAGACACCAAAGTTGAGGCTTCAAAATGAAGAGATTAGATCCAAAAATCAAGTCACAGCAGCTATGTCCATGTTTTATGCCCTCTGTGGAATACAGAGGGCACTGGATCACGGTAACAGCTAATTTAGAGCTCTGCAGTGAGTCTTGGTGGATCCTACAAACCAACTTATGTATTGATCCAGCTTGTGTTAATTACCGCATGGTTGTGTCCCAATGTGTTACACGTGGTACCCGACAGTAGAAACAAATACAATGCTGCAACTTTCTTGTTGATGTGCATCTCTATGGAGATATAACTGCACAGAGAACACAATCACATGGTAAATAACACAAAACCCAACACACAATACCATAAATGTGGCCAATAAAGCGTTTTCAGAGGGGTTGCATTGCGGCCCCGACACTGACTGGGATAAACAAACACAACTCCTGATCATCACTGCCTGATCAGTGCTGCAAAGCAGACATACAGTAGATCATAAAAAATGTGACATGTTCCTGATTCTCTTCCTGAAACGAGACCCGGTGTGCTCCCCAAAGCCTTCCCTCGAACAGATACTAGTTTGGTTTTTCACAGAAACAGGATCAAAGACTGTCCTGATTCTCTCCCTGTTCCACTGAGTCATTGATTTTAGAACGAGTTTTAATGTTTTATTTGTCTCACTCTGTCCCGTTTCCCTTTGTTCCTTTACAGCCTCTCGCCACCATTCCTCTCCTCGTGTCTCACAGTCAAACTCTTTAGACACTTTCCTCATGTCCTACTTTCCAGCTTTTTGAACTTTGCCTTTTGCGTGCCCTCTGCACTAATTGTTCACTACGCTGGCTGATCATTTGTCTGAGGCCTTTAGCCTTCGGCGCAGAGACGTATTTATATAAGATTTGCCAGTTACGACTTGTAGGTTAAAAGTCGGTTAACGTTTAGCTTTCTAATTTTTCACCTTTAACCTTTGAACGTGAATAATTAGGCGCTAAGAAGCAGAGAGAGCTAGATCAAAGTATGCTCCAAATTAACCTGCGGATATATAAAATTGAAGAAATTGAAGTATAAAACAGGTCAAATGTTCTAAAACATTGATTCTGTTCATACAGTTGTTTAATGTTTTCTATTTTTTTTCATGATGTACAATTTTGGAAACTTTTGTCAACTTTTTCCCAACGAGCCGGATACTTTGTATAGAGCTGAATTACTGCTGAACTTATCCAAACGCAAGGCTGGAACAAAGCGTGTAACATACTGTGTTTGTGGGCGACAGTCCATCTCCTCTTTAGGGATGAGGTTTCTCTGATTTCGAGTTTTTCGACCTGTCTCAGAGTTTAGAGAGCGCTGCAGCATGGTTCTGGATCTTCTTTATTATCTATATGTTTTTTTTCTTTCCTTGCATGATGGAGTTTTAACTCGCCCTTATAAACACAGCGATGCTGGTTTTGTTTGCGTTTGAGACGGCGTGCCCTCGAGGGGTAAAAGGTCACATACATTCACCCAGATCCAGTGCGTGTTTCAGAGATAATTTTTAACCCAGACTCTTTGCGGCTTTATTTTTTTCTTTAAATGTTCAGCTACGTTGCTCATGCTCTCTGGGAATCCTCGGTTTACAGCAGGCAGTGTTACTGATTAACGTGAGCAGTTGTGAGATATTCCACCAGATGTTTTAAGAGGTTTTGCACTACTTTTGCAGCCTTTTATCTATTTCATTGTGCTCTTCAGTTTTTAAATATCATTATCTTGCCCATTATTACTCAGCTTCTTTCACAACCCTGTGGAGCAACAGCGTGAGCACAAAGTTAACCAGCTCACCTCCTGCAACCACTTTTCCGAGAATATGCGCTTCTTTTGCAGTTTGGACTCCTGACATTTCTTTGGAGGTGGAGGAACACCAAAGTAATTGCTTAAAGGAGCTTGCTTCTTCGACATCTTTAAGAGTTCTGAACAAATGTCTGTCCTCTTATGAAAATCTTATGTACGCAAACACGCGTTGCAACTTCTTATCTGGTGCGTGTCTTTTATTTTGACAGCACATGCGCACCTGTGTACCACTTATGTGCACCCCGGTTATAGTCAACTTTTTTAAAACTTATATTAGCTTTGTCATGTCTTTTATTGAGCTATACATTCAGATGGCACGTTATTGGGCATACGTGTACAACTGTTTTTGAGTGAGTGCATATACTTCTCAAAACGATTAAAGGAACACTTCAAGATTTGACTATGTGAATGAAAGAGAACCGAGTCAGAATTCAGGAATGATGGAGGACATGACAGCAGCTCATTTACTTGACACTTTATTTGTCACGTGTAAACAAAAATACACAAATTCATGTAGAAAAATAAACCTTTGGACTCCTATAAAAACCCCACCTCAGCAAACATTCAAAGAAACTTTATAAATAACACGTTCAAGACCTTTGGACTTTAACAGCATCTGAAGCAAAGATTTATTCAGACACACGCACACACACACACACACACACACACACACACCTGAGAGAGGAACTGTATAAATACTTCAATGAACACATCACGCCTCACATGTCTACAATCTTCTGTCCAGTATTCCGGTTCAATCTGCCCCCCCTAAAATAACCCACTGCGAGGTCCTCATTCAGACTTCTTGCTGTTGTTGTAAACTGATCCGTTATTGTTCACAGACCTCCCGTTAGATAGAGTACCTGCAGCCTCCTCAGGCCTCAGGTACTCTTTCGTCACTTTCTGAAAGGTTGGGTGGGCAGTCAGCACCCGCAGCAGACTCTCTGTGGAAACAAAGCCACAGCAGGGATGGTTTTTACTACTGTCTAGTAACAGGCATTCACTGACCGCCCTGGTTCTTGAGGGAAATTTGTTCTTTTGCAGCTCATCTACACTGTTCAGCTGATTCTCACCTTCAGTGAGCCGGTTCTGATCGGAGGCGGCGGCGTAGAGCTCGGCAATTCTGTGCTGAGGGATGCCCACCAGCGCCTCCATCAGGTCTGACAGCTCCCTTTCACTCAAGCTGCCTCCGCCCTCTCTGTTAAACAACTGAAAAACAAACAGTGAACAATCAAGAAAACAGCAGGAGGTACAAAAAGGCTCCTTATGGAGGTGAAGACTGTTTTTGTGCAAGCCGATCGAGCCTAAGTTCCACAGTTTGAACTCAGGGAAGAGTCACAAATCCCACTGGGGGAGTCGGTCTTAAAAACTAAAACATGCAGGGCTCTTTAATTCTGTAATTTCTTACTGCGGAGTTAAAATTATATCCTGACTATGTGTCATATTTCTAAAGGCAGACAGGGGAAAGTGGAGAAAGGTGAGGCGATCAGCAGGACTTACAGTGAAAGCAGAGTGAAGCAGTGTCTTCAGGTCAACACATCCAGTCAGGGGTGCGACACTAAAATAGATGTGCCTCAGGTCCACAGAGTCATCCTAAAACACACAGATTGCATCAGCACCTTCTCCCTCTCAGCTTTTTAAATGTTGCATAATCTGAAAAAGCACAGATGAGTTATTATAACGCCTCATTTATAAATCAAAACACCAAAATCACAATGCACTCCGCTTTATGATATGCCCCAAGATCTGTTTGCTCTCGGTAAACACAGCAGGGCTTTTTCAATCCAGGATCCTGTGGTTAGAAGAAGCAGCTGCGAGTTTGTGACTTATCGGTTAACATTCATCAGGGTTTAGTTTGTCCTTGCTCCTCTGAATAGATCTGCTCTTTCTGTGGATTGTGAGAATCATCTGTACCGTTCTCACTCGAGCGTCGCACAAACTCTTTAACAAGAAGCTGGCCGACGAGCTTTTAAAATACTCTGCTCAACCTGCTGCCAGTAAGTACGAGTTACAGATGGATGGAAGGGTTTGCGTTTCACCTCGTCACTAATTGCTACACAAACATCTGCAGTTTCTAACGGCAACAGAGAAACGCGCTGAACCTTTGCCGTGCCCTCCCTCCCTGAAGAATCAGTTCATCGAAAGCAGCTGAAGCATTTCATTTTGAATCTTGTCGGCTTATCGACTTCTCAGATCTGAGTATAGTTGACTCAGCTGTCGCGAGTTCTTGTGAAAAACAAATATTTGGTGCACACAGTGTGCACTCAGCCGCAGTTTATAGCCATAAAACCTAAGAGGACGGTCTGACTCGGCTGCAGCGCGTACACCCGACCGTACCTTGGAGTAGAGGCCGCAGATGTGGACAGCTGTCTGCTGGTGGCTCAGCCCGAGCATGGAGGCGAGCTCCTCTGCGCTGACCTTTGCACCCTGAGCTCCTGAGCGACACCTGTCAATCATCCTGTCCAGAGCCGTCTGTACTTCATGTGCTCCCAGACTGACGGAGAGGAGGATAAAGGAGGTGAAGTAAGCTGATGTGTGACGGAGATGAAAGGTTTTAAAGTTTAGTAAAACATGAGCGGGAGTAATCTCTCACCCGTTTTTGTGCAGCAGCGTCAGCGTTTCTCTGGCTGGAGACTCCAGCGGGAGGGACAGACCACCGACTTTGCTGACGGGAACCCCACCCTCCATCACGTGGTCTGTAGCGGGGACTCCAAGGGCCCTAACACACAGGAGAAACAGCTACGTCACAACAACCAGCAGACACAAATCCCTCGCCAAGAGAAAGCTTTGACTTTTCTCCTCTATCTGCCTCGTACATAAGATCCAACCTAAAACTACATGAAATATATAATAACACGTAACTACACATCATAAAAATGTGACATTGCAGAGATAACACACAAAATCACCAAACAGAGCCAGAAAGTATTTAAAAACTCAGAAATTCAAGGACCAGAAGGCATGTTTAAACCTGCAGTTTCTCTGCATGCCACCAGGTGGTGACAACTGTTGGTAAAAGATACGTTCTGGTGCTTTTGAGGTAAACTGCTAACCACTTGTTGGCCCTCTGGGATGTGTGATAGGTAGGATCAAGTGAATAAGGTTCCAGTCACACAGGCCTAGAGACTGGTCTGCAACCATCTGGCAACCGCCTGTTGCTATTGACATATGTGCTGCTGGGGCCTTGTGAGACCTTTCTATTGGCTTATCTGAATAAAATTAAGCTAAACGTGTGCAGGAAGTCTGTGCTTCGGTTTTAATGGTAACAATACTTAGTTGATGTGGTCAGTGGAAGTACTGCAATTTTTGAATCTCCACTGTTGGTTTTGCTTACATTCTTTTGGTGCTTGGACACAGGAATTACAGGAATGTACCTCCATTGTAATGCATGTCTACTGTAACATGAGCAACAAACCGGTTCCCCATAACAGGGAGAACCAGTAAGTGGGATTATTAAAAAAAAAGAAAAGAAAAAAGGAGGCATTCAACAATCCACTTTAACTTTAATTAATCAGCGGCTGCAGCCAAACTGCTCGTCTGACGTGTCATAAAATGAGGGAAAATGTGCGCCTCACCTGGCCATGAGTCGCTGAACGTTGTCTGCGTACAGGTTGGGGTCCTTCTTCTCCTCCTCTGAAGGGTTGTAAACTGGCAGGAACTGCAGCACAATAAAGAGATAAACACTGTTTGTGTAGTCACAGTAACAGCTCAACAGAGAGGCAAAAGTCAACACACACACACACACACACACTTTTTTTTTTTAAACCACGCCAACTCTGTCACACCTCTGCCCACACCCAGTCATGGCTGTAACCTGTCACTACAATTAACAATAATGTCAGATTGTGCTAAACACACACGTGGGCGTACACACCCACATCACTGAGGTGTGGGTGTGTAAAAGGACATTTCCACAAGTCGTAGATATATACGCCTTTGTTTGATAAGCTGAATGACCAGTTCTCACCTCAACAGTCATGTTGGTGTACGGCTGGGACACCGTGTGCCACAGAGCCTCGGTCCTAACAGACAGAGCAGAAGATTAGATTCATCGTGAAAAATTAGCATTTTGTTTTGATTAAATCACAGTTCAGGCAGGATCCTGTGTGCAGGGGTGCTACTGTGGAGAAATATGTTAAAGGGATCTTGGTGTATAGCGCTCGATAATACTGTTTAAGAACACCTGTTTTGGTCCCGTCTGGTCCCGAGTCATTTCTGGAGGGGTACTATATTCACCTGAATAACAATGGCGCCATATTTGGCTGCTATGATGGGACAAGATCACATCTGTCCCACCAAAGACGAGCTGTGAGAGAAGGCAGGATGATTGGAGTGGAAAATCAGCATCCCCCCTTCCCTGTGTACACTAGCTAACTTCGATTAACATTTTCCCCACCTACGTTTGTCCTTTGTTTTGGTATACAAAAAGAGTAATTCTGAGTTTTGATGTTGTATATTTTGTGTCAAATCTCTAAAAACGCAATAACGACATAGCAGCAGACACAACAGCAGTGAGAGTTGTCAGGTGCGGTCAGTATTACGCTGGAAAAAACGAGCACATTTCCTTAGAGTGCAAAGTCCGGAACGCTCCAGCCTCGTTTAGCTTCACAAGGGCTTCGAAAGGTCATAAACAAAAACGCTCTCTAAGAGGAAGGCTTCCTCCACTACCATGCTCTGACAATATCACACTTCTTTCTTCACTAACTTACATTTACACACTTATTACATTAAAATTTTGACCCTTATGTAGAGCTTTTTTTTTTAAATAAACAAAAAAAACCCAAAACAAAACACTGGTTTCTGCTTTTTAAATTTTGCTCCATTCTTCTATATTGTCTACATCATAAAATTTATACAAATGACTTGATTATTTGCAACAATATTGCCAATATCCTTGCATTTTCCCCCCAGTGTAATTGAATTATTGATATGTTGTATGTGTTAAAAACAGAAGCTAAACCTGTTGGTGTGGTGGGCGGTTCACCATGGCAACGTGCGCCAGTCTGGAGCAAGTTATGTTGGAGATTAGCGACAGACAGGTATGAAAACGATGGCTGCTGACTAATCTGAAGAATTGCATCGACATTCCTGGATGATCTCTCAGCTCTGTGTACAGAGAGTAGGACAAACTTGAGTTTTTAAAGTCTTTTTCTCTCCCTGATGAGCATCAGTAAGAAATACAGATTCTTAAAAGCAACTTCGAAGGTTTACAGAAGTGGGGTGATTCTGTTTATATTCTCTTCTTGCTCTCAGACTGTTAAACACCAACAGAGCTGCAGCTGGAAGGAAAAAAACAAACCATCTCCCAAACAAAACTTTGATGGGACCCTTAACTGTAAGCACATGTCTCTTAATATTCGAGCCGTGGCACCGAGAAGTCTTTTGAACTTGTGCAGTCAGACTTTTTGCCCACTTTCCATCCCAGCTTCAAACAGGCCAAACTTTATGATACAAGAAATCTTTTCTAGTCTGACAAAAGCACTTGAAGCTCACACACATTGTGTCTTTGTTCTCTTCATATCTCTCTGACGTAGCGGTTTTATCTTTGTAAAAATATACACCCGTGCCCGTGATTGGTCAGACTGGCGACGCCACCTTTTTCCACACGAACGCGCTCATCTCAAGCGACGTTCGTGCGATTGCTTATCCTGATTGCAGATGGTAGCATAAGTGAAACCAGATAAAGCCAGACGTCTTGGTTGTGTTGGACTTGTTTCATAGCACAGGCCCTGCTGATCTGTTACAGCTGACAATGATAAGCACTGCATTGAGCTTCTAGAAAAAGCATAAGGATGCTGAAAAGCTGCTCTTGTACAATTATTTTAAGCACCAAGTTCTTACTTGGAGCTTACCTTAAGTAGATTTTTATTTTCATTTGTTTCTGGGGTTTGCTAAACTAAACCCTGACATTAAACATGTGTGACAGATGTGCAGGTGAAGCAATGAAGGAACTCACCAGGCTGTGCCTTTGTACGTCCAGCGAACAGTATCCTGAAGAAGAGACAACAAATGTAAATAAACATTTAAAGTTTTCTTATCTTTCCTCTGAGTTGCTTTCCCAGAGTGGGAGGGGTTATTATTCTTTTATTTTATAGCATATATAATACCAGTCAGTCCCGGCACACCTCGGTAGTACCCAGTGCGCAAACACAGTGCCTGAGTAAACATCACAGTGTGTTCACAAATGCAACCTCAGCTGATCCTCAAGACACGTTACGAACCCTTAATGAACACCAAGGCCATCCTTAAAGACATGATTCATTAAAGCCATTCAATCATATCATGTATGGGGTGCATGGGAAACATTTGGATAATGCTTGAGGCCCGTTTACCCAAACAGCACCTCCCTGGTACAGATCTCTCTGTGGATGAACAGCTGCAGTTTCAGGCAAACCAGCCCAGTGTGGCATAAACCTGAGCTGTGATCACAGACCTCTTTAAAAACAAAGACCCAGGAACATTTGAGAATATCTGTCACAGACCGAGGACACGGTCCAGGTACGATAAACGGAATCAGAGCCGACAAAAATGGCAGTCCTGTGTAAAATATGGAAGGGCTCAAATGATTAATATAACCTAAAAGAGCCAAAGAAGGCGTCTGCTGTCACCAGCAGCACGCCCATGGTGTTACTCACCAGCTTGTTGGGGTAATGCAGCAGCACAGGTTGGACAGGAACTCCAGCGAGAAAGGCACCTTTCATGACACAGATGGAGACAGGAGGAAGAGAGGAGCAGTTAATCACACAGCAGCAGCACAATGTGCAGCTTCGCCCTTCCCGCTCACACAGGTCATTCCTGCATCATTTGTTCAAACGGCTGGAAAACCAGCATGATGTCACCTACGTGAGTCGCACGCGTAGGTCCCACTCACCGGGCTTGAATTTGAGGAGAGCACTGCCGTTAGTCGTTGTCCCCTCGGGAAACATCAGCATCTGGACAGAAATGAAAAGAAGCGATGAGCTGAGAGAGCGATTTCCAGGCTTGTGATGTCATGGCAGTGTTGCCACCTCACACGGGACTTTCAGACTGCTTATGGCTCCTTTCACTTTAAGCTCTTTGGGAAACCTCAACATCCCTTATCTTCTCATCCACAATTTCACATAGTTATTTTACTTTTCTCTTCATAAACACTGAGTCTTTTAATCTGTGTCCCCTCTTTTTCTACCAGCAGTAACAGCTGCCCTGAGGTGACTTTTTCAGTGTGTAAACCAGGGGTCCCCAATCTCAGTCCGCGAGGGCCGGTGTCCCTGCAGGTTTTAGATCTCGCCCTGGGTCAACACACCTGAATCACATGATTAGTTCATTACCAGGCCTCTGGAGAACTTCAAGACATGTTGATTGTAATTTATCCATTTAAATCAGCTGTGATGGATCAAGGATACATCTAAAACCTGCAGGGACACCGGCCCTCGTGGACTGGGATTGGGGACCCCTGGTGTACACTGTCGTTAAGGACACAAATGTAAACAAATGTGTTCCCGTGAGGCAGAAAAGTGGATCATTTCCCTCTTCTTCCATCAAGAGGACCTAATCTAATCGTGATCAACTGCTCACTTGTGACAAACTACAGATTTTTTTCTAAACCACAAGTAGTAAACAACAGAAGGACCATTCCCATTAAAAGATTATCTTTAATCTGCTTTGCATTCCTCAAACTGCTGCAAAGTCTGATGTGATAATTTGGTAGAAATTTCACTTCTGTAAACAAGAACCCAGCCGAGGGAGGAGTGACATTCTGTCAGCCGCCAAAGTCTCACCTGAGGCCAGTAGCCGTCGGAGGTCAACCTCTCATTGAGTTGAGCGACAGCTTTTTTTCTCGACTCTGGATCCTTCCTGCTCACCAGCACAGACTGGTTGAACTCCAGCAGAGCTGAAACACAATTAAGAAAAGAACAAGAATCAGAACCAGAAAGCAAGACACCCTGTAAGACGCAGCAGATCAGGAGCGAGCGGTGTGGGCCGCTTCTTTATCTTTGGATCTCCTCGCATGCTTGCAGAACACAGGGGTGCTGAACTCCAGGCCTCAAGGACCGGTGTCCTGCAGGTTTTAGATCTCACCCTGGGTCAACACACCAGAATCAAATGATTAGTGCATTACCAGGCCTCTGGAGAACTTCAAGACATGTTGAGGAGGTAATTTAGCCATTTAAATAATCTGTTTTGGATCAAGGACACATCTAAAACCTGCAGGACACCGGCTCTCGAGGTCTGGAGTTCCCCCACCCCCTACTCTAACTGTTCGATGGCCAAATATCGCTCTGGATTGTTTGTGTGAAAAAGGTGGAGAGCGAATGCCTGCTGTTATCAGCACACTGCACTGTGAATACCTCCACAGCACAGGAAAATATGATGTCACCCAGGCACTTGTCATTACAAAAATGCAACCAAGTGACTAAAAGCAGATTTACAATCCAGAGGAGAAAAAAAGCTTTCTTAAAAACCTATTTGGGGGCAAAGTTGGGAAACTTTTCAGGTGTTTATTATCAGTTGTGTGGTTGTTCTATATGTGCAGTTTAACCTGTGAAATTAAGTTCAATTCGATAATGCTGCAAAATAACAGCTCAACTAGAAGTGCTGAGGGGTTTCAGGATGGATTCCCAGCAGTGAGTTTGTTTTACACTGTGGTGGAGCTTTCTGACTGTCAGTCAGAGAATTCAGCTAATTCAGATGTAAAGACAAGAGGATGAAAAAAGAGAGAAACAAGAAAAGATACAACTATATCTATAACTGCAAATACTGCGCATTACATTTTGACTTCTATGAAATCCAACCTAGATAAACAAGTAACTGGATAAACAAGTAAATTCCTTGTAAACAAGGAAATCTGCACTTGAAGCCTCGACCTTCATGTTGTCATCGGAGGCTGAGTCAGCAGAATAGCCGAGGGGTTCCCGTAAAAGATAAAACACGCGATCAAAGGCAGATTTCTCTCCTACAGCAGACATGGAGACATCTGAAAGGAAGCAGCATGTACGCCCTATGTAAGACCATAGCTCAGCAGCACCTTACATCAGCATGCAATAAGCTGTGTGGGCAAGTTTGCAAGGCTACAGTGAAGGCTTCAACGCAAACAGGTTTACGGATCATCTGCCTCCATCTCAGTCTCTTTGTCTCATTTCTACTCTTGTCCATTCTGATCATTCCCAGGGAAAATCTAAGCATCTCCATCTTTCTGTCAGTGCCATTGTCTCCAAACCACACATTACATCACATCACAGCAGGCCTCACTACCATCTTGTAAAGCTTCCTTTCACTCTTGCTGCTATGCTTCTGTCATGTCATAGTTCTCTGACACCTATCCCTGTACAATGTATGTCATTTCTAACTGTTTTACTTGAAAATTGCCATTATTGTCGACCCACAATAAAAAAAATGCGCCTGAAGGAAATGTATACATTGATAAATCTTAAGAACTAGCTAAGAGCTACTCTTGTTTACCTCCTATGACCGGCAGGCTGGTGTTCTCTGACCTCGACACCACCGTCGCCAGCTGGGCCGGGCAAAAAACCAGCATGTCCAGAAAGCTGCTGTGGGGCGCCACCACCAGCACCGGAGCCTCCTTCAGGTTTGCCCTGCGACCTTTGACCTTAATCCAGTAGAAACCCAGAGAGAAGAACACAGCTCTGCTCAGCAGCCAGATGATTGGGTGGTAAAACCAGCGGCGCCAGCCTTCTACGGGTTTGGAGCGCTCCTCCTCGGACAGGCCGGCCAATCGCAGCCGGGCGATGGGCCACATTATAAGGAAGAAAAGGACCGCCAAGGTGACGCGTAGGGGGAAGAGGATGCTGCCGAGGATGATACCCTGTGAGATCAGAAGAAATACATTAAATGCGCAGTCACACATACGACCCAATAAATCTCATACCGCTCAGAAACTGGACTTTGAAATTAGCAGCGCTGCGATAAATACATTTGTTTAAACCTAGTTTCATCAGAATGAATCACAGTGGACATTTTTGCTTAGCAAATATTTACAAATGAGGCACAGATTTCTGTCAAATAATGTAACAGACGGACTCCTTTATTGGTTAGTTAGTTTATTCGGTCACCAAAGTCCCATTTTGTGACAGGAAAACCCTGATTTGTAGCTATTAAATAGGCTTTTTTTTATGGTTTTACAACTTTAGTCTGAAACTACTGAATAAAATTAAGATTAGAGCTTTGCACCTGTGAAGTTCGTCCTGCGTATAAGGGGAACACACTCAGATGCCCATAGAGGTGCAGTTTTACACATGTTTATAAATTGAAAGCCCATCTCATTACTTCCCAGCCACACTGATAAGTTTTCCAAAGTTGTGGAACCCTCTGGTATGTTGTTCTCATCATCAAGCCCGCTTATCCGTGCTGGGAAACATTTATGACTTGGCTCATTTTCTTGTGATCTCAGAGAAACAGGGAGCTGTGGAAGCCTAAACTGAAGATTGTATCGAAATGAGAAAAAAAATGGCAAAAATAGAAGAAAATGGGAAACCGGAAGAGTCCCAAGAGAAAACGCTTGATAGTAAATACTTCGTAAATAACTTTTTAGTGACTGGCTCCTCTTTCCGTGTTGGTAAAAATCATCATATGGTTGGTTTCAGGTGTTAACACTCAATGTTTGAATGACTGATGGTCACTAAAATTAAACACGTCATTATATGAGTTTTTCTATTTTATTTTCTATATTAAGTCGATATATATTTGAGCGTTACCCGGATCCTTTGCGCCCTGGTCAGCTTCATTGTGTGAATGAACGGATGTGGATACTCCTGCGTTGCCGAGTAACCGTCGTCGATCCTCTCCATGGCGCGAGGTAAACTGGAAAAGTTTATTAATTTTCTTAAAGGAATTTTAACACTTAAAAAAGTAATTTACACTCCCTGAGGGGTTGATTAAAAAGTTACATAAAGCTGTCAGTCCCCTGTTTGCTTTTATTTTAAATTAAAAAGTTAATTAAAGTGCCTCGCGCACTCTATTAAAAAGAGCAGCTAGCTAGTAGAAGCCAAACGCTCGCGTGCAATCCTTTGAAGCAGCAAAAACATAAGACGACAACCAACTAAAAACCAACTTCTCCGGTCCTTCTCCTCCACATGGCCAAATAAACGCCACAGCAACGCCACCCAGCCTCATTTAAAGCTTCGCCTCACCCCGTCCGTCCCCTACGTAAGCTCACAGCCCGGCCCACCAGCAGGACAGCCAAGTCGGACCAGACAAACCGGTCGGAAAGCATGTATGGAATTGTTATTAAAAAAGAAATAAAAATCTGTGTGTGTGTGTGTGTGTGTGTGTGTGTGTGTGTGTGTGTGTGTGACAAATTGAGTGTTACCATACGACTGTCAAAAAAGTGACAAGTGATGTCATACAAAAAACCAAAACAAATTTCAGTAATTTTAACACATCTAGATTAACTTTAATAAGTATAACCATAAAGTGCATGCGCAGAACCACCGCTCGAATCAGGATTGTCTCTCCCTCGAGGATCTCATCATTTGGATATTTCCATTTACCAGATTTTTACCAGTCCTAGCTTTTTCATTTGCTACTTGTGAATCTTATACCAGTATGCTAGCTGGCTAAAGCGGGATTTATACTACTCTCAGGTTGGGGTGTACAGATGTTTGACAAGGGATTTAGACACATTTAGACAGGGTGCGAGACTGGGTGAATGAAGCTGGTATTACAAAACGCTCCGACAGCTCAGTTAGAGGAGGAAGGTGCTGCGTAAGCACCAGTCCGTCAATCTCTCAGAAGGATGAAGTCTGCTCAGTCCTGAAGATGTGCAGTGGAGGAGAGAGTGTCCAGATGTGTAACTTTGTGTCACTGTGTGGGATGGCAGCTGCTCCCTGACAGAGAAGAAGGCTCTTTAAACATAATCTCTGTACCAGTAATGCAGACGATGCTACCCTCTCTGTGTGTCCTCTGTGCTGTTTGTAAATTTAATGCACACTGTGTGGCAGTACTGTGATAAGATGAAGATACCTGTGAAGAAGACTATATTTAATATGTTTTGGGACATTTCTGAATCTCAGATGTTACATTAAGAGCCAAGCTTTCATGTTTATTCACTGATGACTAACAAACGCTGTGAAAGCCTCATGGCCTCTGGGGTTTCTGCCATACCTGATCCTTCTGTTCTGGGTGCTGATAAATCCACACCCACAAGAAGAAGCAAAAGGAATGGAGGAATGGAAAAGTTTGGAATGAGGCAAAGACGGGAGTTGAAATTCACTGCTGGCTGAGCTGAACTTTTATTTTGATACTTACTTCCTGTAATTGGCTAAATGTTGATACAAGCGCGTTGTAAAGGCCTGCTTTCAAAACAGGCTCATAAATGTTATTCACCAAGACGGCTCTGTGTGAAGCCTGAAGCATCCATTCTAAAATTATTTACTGGTATCATTTATGTTATATATATGCATTTCTTATTTTCCCTTTAAACATATATGATTTAACAAAACACACATTTTTAATCTTCTCATCAGGGACCTATAAGTATATGTCCTGATAGCCAGCAGACACACACCCAGGCATCCTGCTCACTACAGCAGGTGGTGAGCCCACATCTCCTCTTCAGGCTGGGCCCGGTTGGGTCTCATGGGGTAAGACCCTGGCACCAGGCACTCTCCCTTGAGCTCCCTCCCAGGCCTGGCTCCAGGGCGGGGCTTCAGTGGTTTTCTGAATCCCTCCACCAAGGTGTGTGGAAAGAAGCCAGTTAAGTGTGTACATACATATATAAGAGGTAGAAGGTGAAGCCCAAGGTGGTCCAGGTGGTAAAAGAAGGATTAGGAGCTAATGTGATGTTCTTTGGTTTTACTCTGTTAGTGTTTTTGTTAGTTCCTGCAGCACAGTCAGGTATATCAAGAGTATAGAGGAGTTCTCCTGAGACAGGCTGCCACACGAGGAGAACTGGATGGGGCTGTAGAGCGACTTTAACCCAGCAGGAGCCTCTGCTCCAACCAGTACCTTCATTTACACCAAAACAGCTGAAACGGATTCAAAGTGGTTTCTGCTTCTGAACCAGAGACTAATCTCGCTGAAGGATCTTTTAAAACCAGTTACATTAAAGGAATATCTTTGCTACCTCTGTGAATTCATGACTGTGGTTCAGGTTATTTATTTCCAGGATTCCTGAAAACATTCAGGACAGTGGGACTTAACTGAAAGTGATTAACATTTGAAGCCAACCCCAGTATAAATCCAGAAATCCTTTAAAGTGTTCTTTATGACTATGATAGACAAACATTTGAAAAAACCAAAAAGAGACTTGAGAGGCTTTGTGACATCTCAGAAAATCCAACAAACTAAATCAGACCTTTTGAACTGGGTTTGTGGACAGGGTGCGGTAAATATCCGACTAAAAACAATCTTATCGGCCGTGCCTTCAGGTGTGCATTTTTCTCTTGCAACCAGTCATATTGTGTAATATCATATCACTCTGACATATTAAACAACTCGTGCTTATGGCTGAAAAATGTCATAACTGAGCAAATAAACTGAAGTTTTTTCCTTCAGATTTAAACATGTTGGACAAGAAGACCCAAAGTCTGACATGGTCCCCAGTAGTTCACACCTTAATCACCAAAAACATGAATGGTAAATGGCCTGCATTTGTATAGCGCTTTACTTAGTCCCTAAGGACCCCAAAGCGCTTTAGTCATTCACCCATTGGTGATGGCAAGCTACATTGTAGCCACAGCTGCCCTGGGGCGCGGGGCTGCCGCCACCAGTAGGCAAACACGGGGTTAGTATCTTGCCCAAGGATATTTGGCATGCAGCCAGGAGGCAGCCTGGGATCGAACCACCGACCTTCAGATTAGTGGCTGACCTGCTCTGCCACCCCTACAGCCTTCATTAGAAGTTTTATAGTTTAGTTTCTGTGTAATTCCACTGAACATTAAGTATCTTCATGAAACAACTTACCAAAAAACCACTGCAAAAATAATCAAACATCCAAACTCATTTGAATTCAACCAATAAGGATTTATTTCCTAGAATATTTTCATAGGGAAAAAAACAAATCTGCATAAATTAAACAAACCTTTAAATTAAACAGGTGAGTAAATGCTGTGGGCTAGCTTGGTGAGTTCATGTTAACATAATGAAGCGTTCACAACAAACTGAACGACTGATGGAAGAAAACAAAAAAGAAAACTACTCTACTATTCATGAGAAATGACCTCCTCCCAGGGACTCCCTCGGGAGTTACAGGTAACACTCTGCCATTAGTGATGTTTACCCTCCAAAAATAACCTTGTCGATAATCTCGTATTTTTAGCATGTGAAGTATGTGTCAAGTGAAATTACAGTAGTTGAACAGAAGTAAATATGATGATCAGCTGGCTTTAAGAAAAGAAGAACGTCAGAGGTGACGGCAAACGTAAGCAGAGCAGCTGGCGGAAGTAACGTTTCTCTGATAAAAGGCAAATAGTGTGTGTGTGTGTGTGTGTGAGATGAAACCCTGGCGGTGCCATTTTAGCTGCTGCGGTCGAGCCTGGATCTGCTGAGGACGGGGAAAAAAAGCCAGCTGGATTTCCCTCCATGTCAGCTTTGCCGGGCGGCCTCGGTGGTGCGGCTCAGGTGGAGTATTTACAGTATCTAACCTCTGAAGGTCAACATATCAATCCTTTGCATGCACACGTGGTCCTCTTCACAACACCATCCCTCCTCCCATGATCTCCATCCTCTGTGGAGAAGACAAATGTGGGTACAGTGAGAGGCAGTAACCAGTGTGACAAAACACCGCAGGGACCTGTGTGACAACTGGAACACTAAAACTGGGAAACACTACTCGGTTAAACTAATTACCCATACTTAATTAATTGGCAGTTAGCTGCTGGTTTCAAGCTCTTATAGTCAGGAACACGTGGCTGTCACTGTGACAGGAAAATAAAGAAGCCTGAAACACTGCGAGCTGGAAAATGAGTGGACACTAGAAGGAGTTTTTCACTAATAGTGTAAAATACAGACAATGTTTAACCTCGTTTAGCTCTTTTCCCCATACAGCCGACATCTGAAGACCTCCCCTCTGACACCTCAGCATATATCAATAAAAAGGTGCTTTGACCACCGTTAGAATATTTTCTGGGTTTTTTCTGGGTAGCTCCACAGGCAGACACCACCCTCACTAACTTCTGATGCAAACAGTCATTCATATCTCCCGTAAACAGGCCTTAAATATGACATAAACCACTCAGTGATGAAAAGAGCTTCAGATGTTACTCCAAGTCTGCTTTCAAGGGGTAAAGAGGTAAATGATGCCCAAGTTGGACTGTTTTCTAATTCACACAGGCCTACACACCAGTTAGCAACCATCAGGCAACCTTTCCCAACTGGTTGGGAAGTGGTTGCAGGTTGCTGGGTAATACCAAGTGAAACTGGTAACAAAGTTACTTCCGGCTGTGCACTTATACAAGCGGTTGCCATAGCAACTAGCTCCGTATGTTTGATTCAGGGACATTGCATACTCTTCCTGAGGGAAATCCAGAAGGATGTGTATCTCCTCCCCAGAGCACATCAGGGAACTTTTGCTTACTGCACCTAAAACCAACTTGCAATCATTTTACTTGCAAGCAGACCTGCAAATGATTCAGTCACACTGTGAAGGAAGGAAGGAAACAGACTCTCAGCATTAACTGTTTGATGTTTATGTGCAGTCACCCCTCAAAGGCCCACTCTGAGGTATTTTAACATTAAAAAGGTAAGATTTTATTTGTTCCTGCATGTTACAAAGATGTTTCTGACGACCAAATAAATACATCACTGATAACGCAAGGTGTCTTCCATGACCTCAGGAGAATTTGAAACTAAGCCAATTCTGCCCCCTACTGAGCTAGAAACAGTAGTTCAGCAGGTTGAGGATCGTGACACGTCTGTTTTATAAGAACTTAATGAAGAAGCCAAAAAGCCTGAAAACATGAAAAAATTACTTTACAGACCAAACCTACTGGGCCATTTTTCAGGTATTGTGTTTCTGGCAGACAGCGCAGTGGTTCACACATTCACAGAACAAGTGAAGGGTCACCACTTCCACACACATCCCTTCAAAGGCTGCATTAGAAAGAATCTGCCAAATCAAACATGTAGAGCTGCTCACAGCAGCTTTTATCAACAAACAGTCCGATGAAGCCAAAAGCTGAGCTAATGGAAAGCTTGTGTCAGACTCATTTTATTGGCTGTATTTGTAACTAGAATTATTCAAAATGTGAACAAAGTGTGAAAATCTGCTCAGTGGCAGATTGTACTGCTCCGTCATGACAAACAATGAGGTGTTTTTATTTTCCCCTGTAAACAAACCACTTACAGCTTTCCCTTTTTATTTGTAAGCAGGGGGTCCACAGAAATTTGGGGTAATGAGCTGCAGAAACCTTTATCTAATTTAATAAAGTTTAAGCCCAAACATCGGCTGCGCTGCTGGATTTCTTTGTGGACAAACTGAGACAAGTTTTATAAATATAAATGTACTTAAACTTTACACTTAAACAGAAGGGACAATTCTAAAGGTTAACATCATCATTTATTATCATTTTTTACTATTACTACCATTATACCCATTCTTATTACTACTATCATTATTATTAATATTACTACTAAAAACACTGGGTACCAGCAGTGCTACCTGTCAGCCTCCTAGTACACACATCTATGGTATCAATTATAGAATCTGCATCTCAGCCCTTGTTCAAGTCATTGCATATACAAGATGTACAGAAAACTTGACCTCTGGCCTTCAGGTCAAGGTCAAACTCATCTTAGATTTTTAGTAGATACAGTTAGGGTATCAATTTGAAGAACTATTTATCCCTGCTGCACGTTTACGACCTTACCTGCGGCGGATCTATGAACGCCAGCCAATCGGACGAGTGTGTCGGGAGCAGTCCCATCGACTGACACTTGTAGATGGCCAGCGCCGAGCCCAGGAGGTTTCCGATCAGGTAGACGAGGCCTTGGAGCCACTGCTGGCTGGAGCTCTCCAGCAGCTTGAAGGCTGAGGCGGAGAGGATGAAAGGAGCAGTTAGCATCCGGTCAGGAACATAAACGGTGTCCGAGCGCTGGATACTCACTGGCAGACATGGACATGAGAGCCTGGATGGGCCTCCAGGCCATCATGCACACCATCATGATGGGGAAGATGGAGATAGTGTTGCCCGACATGTACATGATGAACAGGTTCATGGGGATCTGCTTCAGGGGCCCAAGGGCCACGTCCCAGCACCTCTGCACCACAGCAAGACGAGAGAGTGGGCGGGGTCAGACCAAGTACCACATGTTTGATTTAAATCCCTGCTAAAGACCCTCTTACGTCCACCCAAAACTAAGCCTCGCTTTCTTTACTGAGCTCTTTTCTTTTCATTCTAAGCAGATCACCTTCATTCTAACACTTTTGTGAGGAAACATTTTGACTGTAGTCCTATTGTTTTAAATGTCCTATCAAAATAAAAGCGACTGTCTTTAAGGCACCTATTCCAAAGTACGGGCTGACCACTCATTGTGAGAAGGCACATAGACTCTCCTCTGTGCCAGTTCCAAAATCCACATCCAGTTTCTGCCCAAAGTACTGATTCCTATGTACACTATGTTCCTACATGTGTTCCTTCCTATGTTCCTACTATGTACACCATGGTTATTATAGTCATTATAAAGCTAGTACAAAAACTATAAAACTACAGTAAAAACAAAATATGGATGGTTACTGTAAAAAGATTTGTTATTGTGTTTATTTCTCACAAAGTAAAGCAAAACTAATTCAGCATTGGTAGCTTCACCTATGAAGTTAAATAGACATTAAATCCACAGACTGGTGGTTGGGACCATTCGAACAGGAGGGAAAATGTGTGTATCTGGAGCTTTTCTCACCTTCTCCACCAGGTTCTTGTCAGTCTCCTGGATGCTGGTGTCGGGAACCGGTTTCTCAGAGTAGCCGATGGGGTAAACCACATCTCCCTGACCGCCCTGCCGGTCACCGCGGCTCCTGCAGCGGGAATAAAAATGACCAGATTTAACCTTTATTCACCGTCTCATAAGCTCTGCTGTTTAATTTAATATCAGCATTTAAACCACTCAAGACAAGAGTGTAAAGCCCACATGCACACACTGTGAGGACGCCCAGGTAAACAAAGAGAAACTGGATTAGCTGATTTCTAAAAAGTTTGGAGGCAGAAATAATCTGTAGTTTAGGCGGGACATAAGTAAAAGGTTGCTAGTTTAAGTCTAGCAGGAGACACAAATGCCCTTTGGCGTTGAATCAAGATGAGCATTCGATGTACAACTTCTAAGTTTAGGCAGGACACACTCCCAAACTGTTCACTGGGAATGGGACAATTACCTGCCAGGAAAGATTTTGAGCCATACTGAATGTAACACAATTACTTAAATTCTCAGTTTATGAAACTTTAAATAAAAGCAGCGACCTGTACTGAACTGAATGGACTTTTTTCAACTTTAATTACACCTGGAACACAGCAGTCTGGCAATGCAGGGAGGCAGAAATATTGAAAGGGACATGCTGAAAAGTGAAACCATTACAGGATAACAGACTTGTTGTTTAGTAACTCATTAAAGCCAGAATCATATCTTACATGTAAATTCGATCACCTGGACAGAGCTGTTACCTGCACTACTCTCACCTCTACGCCAGAGCTTTAGTCCACACCTCCTGGTGGTGTGGACAAATGTTCAGGGTACGTGTCAGTTTCCATTTACCTGGTGTTGCCCAGGCTCAGCTCCAGAGCCCACTTCATCCTCCTGGCACCGCTTCCTCCTCTTGTTGACAGAGCTCCTCCTCCTTGTCCTCCTGGAGACGCCATGGCAACCAACTACACTGCTGGACCTCGGAGACAGAAAGCACCTGCACAGATAGGATGCATAAATAACTGCAGACGTAAAAGGCTTGTGCAGCTTTCTGTTAAGCCAAAGACAAAATATGAGAATAAAACACCAGTCGATAAATGGAAGTCATTGATTTCAGACATCGAACAGGTTTCATCCTTTTAATCTTCCCCAAAAGGAAAACATTTTAACCACTTATTATAAAGTAATGTTACATTTAATCAGGAAAATAGAACCCACAAATCCATCAACACAGGCAACACTGCCTTAACCACACACAGCTACCTTTACTACTGCAGAAGCAGCAGCTATACAGTCGCTGTCACTTCAAACCTGTTTTAAATCTTCACAGAATAGATTAAAAGATGCTCAGTTGGTACCAAGAAGATGTTATGGACACCACTACACCACCAGCACCTGAACTGCAGATAAAGGCAGAATGGATCCATGCTTTCATGCTGTTTACTGGTAACTCTGACCCTACCATCTGAACGTCGCAGCAGAAATGGAGGCTTATCAGACCTGGCAACATTTTTTTTGTTGTCTAGTTTTTAAGTGCAGCACGGCATTTTCACTCAAAGAACTTGGCTCGCTACATATTTTCCATGCAAACTCTAGAGATGGTTGTGTGCCAGCAGATCAGCATTTTCTGAAATACTCAGACTAGCATGTCTTGCAGCAGCAAGCATGCCACGTTTAAAATCACTTAAATCAACTTACTTTCTTATCTGATGCTCAAGTTTGAACTTCAGCAGGACGTCTTGACATTCCTACTTGTCTAATGTATTGAGGGCAATGGAGAAAGAAAGGTGTACCTAATAAAGTGACCAGTGACCTGTCACCTTGTGTGTGTGTTTTAATGCTGTCAAATATCAAATCAAATCAAATCACTTTTATTGTCACATCACATGTGCAGGTACATTGGTACAGCACATGTGAGTGAAATTCTTGTGTGCGAGCTTCACAAGCAACAGAGTTGTGCAAAATACAATAATGTAAACAAGCAAAATACAAGAATGGCTACATCTGAAACTAATAAATATATGTACAATATATAATAGTATATGCATTTCTGGATGTGTATACTAATATTTTTCTACGTGTGTGTGTGTGTGTGTGTGTGTATGTACACATATTTTACAAATTAAATAGAGTAAACAATAAATAAAATATATAAAAAATAATAAGAGAAACAGAGAAGACCTTACACACAGTGTGAACACACTGTGATCTCTACATGCTCTAACAGAGGAATGGCCCCTAAACAACATAAATTATTACTATCAGAGTTCCCAGTTTGTCTCCAACCTGTTCTTTCTGTAACAGATCGATCCTGGGATAACAGCCAGTTCTCTGTTTTTTCTGCAGATAAAATGTCGGAACAGCTTCGGTGTCTCTGCACCTGCTAACAGCGGCCACCTCTGTTGTTATAGACCTAAAACACTAAGCACAGTTTCCCGGAGAGCTAACATTAACGGTTCAAGTGTGTACTCAACACACTGCCAGCTATAAATACAAGCGAGCCGACCAGAAGCTAAGCAGGAGGTCACCAGCGCCTCACAACGCTGTCACTAAGCAGCACGTTATAGGTGAACGAGGCAGCGGAGCGTTATTTCAAAAACTATTGTACCTTACAGAAACATCCAACACTCTCAGGAGCTTCTTTAATCGGTGTCGTTTTAACGGAAAGAGTCGAAGCTTCCGACGTACGCTCAGGTTTAGATAACCCCCTCGTCGCTCTCTCGATGTTTCCGGGGCTCTAAATGATGACGGAGTTTGCTGATACGGATATTACGTCATACGTCCGCTAAAATAAAATAAAATATTTCCTCAAGGGGAAAATATAATAATTAATTTTACTTTTTTAAGTTATAGAAAATAATTTGCGGGTTAAAAAAAATTTACCATGTACGGAGAAGACTTAAAGTGAATATTCATTTAAATAACATGGATGGTTAATTGTGGTAAGACTATTTAATTTGAGGAAAATTGAACGGCAGTTTTTTCCCCCCAGGCGGTGTAGACAATATAATATATAATGTAGACTTCACATGCTTGTGACACCATGTTTGTGGTCGATAGAGAAAATCCACAGAACAGTGTTAAAGGTATGATGGGTCAGTGATTTTTTGTTTTATTTTGATATATTGATAATGTTTCTTGTCGTTTCCCGTTTAAATATTATATATTATAGTTTATTTAGCGAAAGCTTCACTGGAAGAACGTATAGAAAATATACAGAACCCATGTTTTTAAGGAGCAGATTTGGGAAAATTATGATTATTTCTCACTCAGCCGTTTAAGAGTTGGGAAGCACAGCGGTGTGGATTCTTTGCTTCACAGCAAAAAGGTCCTGGTTTAAATCCACCATAACCAGAAGACGATAGATGGACATGTCCCACATGTTTTAGATTTCTTGACAAATTTGAACAATAAAAAAAAAAAAAAAAAAAAAAAAAAAAAAGGCAAAAACACTAAGACATAGGAACAATATCAAATCTTTATTCTCATTGCGTGTAGCTGGATTGCATTAAAGAACCTGTAAGCAATCTAACAGTTTAAACATCGATGTGCAATCTGTGCTGTCAGTTACAGGGAATGCTATTATATACAGATGAACTGACGTGTAAATAAAGCAGTGCAAACTGAACTGTGCAGAGTACAAGTGTTACATGTTACAGGCACAGTGGTTTCATACAGTGTGAGAGCATCATTAAGGCACAGGTAAACTCACCAGCAGGTTGGCAAGTGTACACAGCTCTTTACCTAAACATAAGGCTCTTTGTTCAACAGGCACAGTAGAAGTGTGGAAGTATGGCTGACTGTTTTCCTGACGGTGGTTTATTCTCAGACCCTCACCACTTGTCGTCCTTTACTGGGCAACACTTCACGAAAGAGTTTAAAGTGCATCTTGTTTGTAGACAAACTGCAACTCCTGATATACAGAAGATGTGAACATTAAGGCCGTGCCATAAATCTGCAGCAGTTTGGCACTTAAGCAGTTTTAAACATGGATGACCCAAAAAATTAGCCCCAATAACAAACGTCAACCAGCTTAACCTTTGCTGTTTTACACCATCTTCTTAAAAACCTTTGGACTCTTGCTGCTACATCTGCTATTTTTACATCTCTGAGTGTGTGAAGCTGCGGGCAGCCAATTCTGGAGAGTGTTCCGGGTGATGAGCAAAGTTTCTGTTACAAAAAACCTCCTGGGTCTGTACATGAAGGCCAGTTTGTGTGTCTAACATTACCCACAAAGAAAAGAAGCTGCACTTCAACATTCCCGTCTCACTGGGAACTTCAGTCTCTAACCCCACTTCACAGGAGGGAGTAATAAAAAAAAAATGCTGGTCATGGTGAGAATAAGGCAGATTTCATGTTACACCTGATATTCTGAAGTGCAACGTTTTATTCAGACAGCTGTGCGAAGGGAAGAACCTGAGGACAACACGTCCACTTCAGTCTGCACGTGTGCTGAGTGTCCGTGTCACTTGTACAGGCTGAGCTCGGGGCTGTGGTACAGGCACATGTAAGAGTCGCAGAGCAGGCGACGCGCAGCCTCCCTCAAGGAGCTGGGGTCCACTCTGCTCAGCTCCTCCTCTGACAAGCTCAGGTAGCGGCCCACCTCGGGACAAGCCTTCACTTGGGGGATGTTGAAGCCGTTCTCTCCACCTGTGTGAGAGCACATGGAGAAACGTGAGCGCGTGCTCCTCGCTGGCTGAATGTAAGATTCGGTTATCGTGTTTGAGTTTCACCTTCCCGATCCGCCATGCTGTCGAAAAACAGCCAGTCGGTGTCGAGGGGCCCGTTCTTGACGAAGCTCACGTAATGGCTCGTCTCGATGCACGTCACAGCGAAGAGAGACATTCGCTGTCGCGTGCAGTGCAGGGGGCCTGTCCACTGTTCCCCGGGGACGCCAATCTTCACCGGGCTGTGGGACGCTCGTTTCCTGTGACTGTGGACCTGGTGATCAAAGTCAATGAGTAAAAAACACAGACTGTATATAAAAGGCGGCAGCAGCTACCATGAAGCCAACCACTGAATCACAAGTGCTCATACTTGGATGACAGAGTGGAGTGCTGAGATTATGTGAGGAGCAAGCACCAGCATCCAGCAGTTACAGTTATGAACATATCTGATATTTAGTGCAGAGTAAGACACAAAATAAGAGTGCTTATTTGGCAGCCAACTTTCAGCACAGGGTACAATCTTAATCTGGTATCATGTACAGAGTACCGAGCGAGTCTACAGAGTATCAGCGATCCAGAAAACCACAACACTGGGCTGAATTAAGCTGGACTGCTGCAGACGATTCCATCTTTAAAGCAGAGGCTCTTTGGTGCATGTCTCTATAAACCTGAAGCAGTGAAGGGCTACCTGAACGTTGCAGGTCTTGCAGTACTGTTTCAGATGTCCAGGAGTGATGTCTACATCATCGTAACACTGCAGACACTCCCACTCGGCTACAGCCTGACAGATAGTACACTGCCTCAGAGCTGCAAGAGAAAGGAGAACATAAAACTTAAGCTACTTCAAATCTTCAATGAGCAGGAACAAATTGCTTCCTGTGATCGTCCTTACTGTCATCCAGCAGGTCTGTGATGTCCAGGCTGAGGGTCGGCAAGATGGCGTCAAACATTTTGAAGTCTTTCCCGAACCTCGGCATGAGCAGCAAGAGGCAAGAGGGAGCCTGGTGGGCACATCAAGCCACACATAAGAAAATATAGCAACTCCTTTTTACTCATATTGATGTGAAATCTCTGGCTTATTTCTATCACCTCAACAAACTTGAGGCCGGAGTGGAGAAAGGAGGACTCCAGCAGGGTCTGGACGCTGGCGACCCTCATGGATGACGCTGAGGAGAGGGGGATCGGGGAGTTGACTGGGGAGAGAGCCTCGGGCGAGGAAGGAGAAGGGGTAAGGGCAGGAGGGAAGAGCTGATAGAGGTGACACTCCTGTGGCTGCTGAGACATCGATCTGAGGAGAGGAAGAAGGCAGGAAATTAAATATGTAGAATGAGCTCAAGATTTAGGTGATGATCAGGCCTCAGCTCCTCTAACTCGAGCTACTGAATTTGACCTTTAACTGCTAAACCCTTAACGTTCGATACATTGTTGTGGAATTCATAAACAAATATTACCTCCTGAAGCATGTGGTTTTCTGTGTGGTGCAGCCCATCCAACATATCTATGCTTCAGGTTTTATCAATGAAACACCAGCGTGTGTGTGTACGGTTTTTAAATGCAGTCTGCAAGCCAAGCTTGTGAGATCTAGCTGTCTAATTATGCTGCCCTCTGGCTGCACTGTGGATCATGTCTCGTTCAGTGTTGCTTTGTTATCGTTTCCCTCGAGACCTTGTTTAACACCAGAACAAAGCCACCGGGTGCAATCCTAAAACACTGACAGAGCAGGCATTACAACAATGACCACCTTTGATGCTTGGCTGTGTAAGCATATAGTTATCCATAAATATGGATAATAACAATTTTCCTTGTAGTTTTTGTCTCTGCACGCCTTCACAGTAGACTTTAAATCAAACAAGATGTGAGACAATTTCCAGCTTTAATTCAAGGGGTTCAATGAGAGTATTGCATTAACTCTTTAGGACCTGCAGCCATTTTTACCCTTCAGCTATAAAAGACTGATGGGGTATTGTCATTACCCTGCCAACGATAGACAGGCGGGCGGGCCGCGTGGTCACGATAACTCAAGATCAGTGCAACACAGGACTTTCAAATTCATAAAACAGGTGCATCTATTAAAAAACACTGGCAAGTTTGAATAACAGTGACCTTGAAGTCAAGGTCAGAGGTCAAGTTTGAGATCCGTTGAGTCACTGAAGTACATAAAAGGAAGGTGAAACACTTCATGGAGCTCTGAGCAAATAACAACATGGACAAGCATGAAAACACTAAACGCAGTCTTCACAGGGACACTATAGACACAAGAGGCAAGTCAAATAGTTTTAGGAAGAGCCACAGTCTGTTTGACCTCCAGGCTGGAAGTCCCTTTTCCTTTAGTTAGATTTAGACAGTGTGAACTTCAACAACAACAAACAACAACCAGGCAAATATTTCCATCACCTTTGAACAAAAGTGAACTGGCGGCAGGTTGTGTTCTCACAGAGGAATGCATGAAATGTAGAAGAGCGACAGTGTTGGAAAAACGTCATCCAAATTCAACTTCCAACCGCGTCGATGCAACAGCTAACCTGTGTGTGTGATAATGACTGTGTGCAGGTAATCTGGGAACAACAGTCCAGTGAGAAACTGTCCTAGTGTCGGCAACATTACCTGATCTTGAGAAGCGGCTCGACTCGGAGAAGCTGAAAAAGCTTGTTGAGAAATTCTTCAGGATCTGACAGAAAGAACAAGAGAGGTATGACAGCATTCCTCGAAGTCTTTAACTATGTTTGCAGCACAGTCCCTGGTGGAGGAGAACACTTGCATACCTTTCTCCTGGTTGGTGAAGCCCATATCACTGTTCGCAGCTTCCAGCAGTCGCCTCAACGCCATTGTCTTACTGGCACACACATAGCCGTACCTTTAAAAACACGGCAGCACAGGAGCGCCTCAGACACGTCACACAGATATATAACAAGAATGTGAGCACAACCTAAAGTTATGAGCGCTTCAGCCTAGCGACACGTGAACATGTGGTGTTTAATGACTGCAACCTTTTGGGCCTCCTATTAGAATGACATTTGTGTTTAACGACCACAAACAGAACACTGGATTAAACTCCACATGCTTGTGATACCAAAGGTCACTATTCTGGATAA